ACCGTGTGTCCGTTTCCTACTGTGTCCGATCGACACTGTGTCCGATTCATTCAACCTGCTGTGTCCGATTTATTCTGTGCGCAACTGGGACTCACTCCATTCGATATCGGAGTCCTCACTCAAGCATCCTTACGGCGGATCGCTATCGTTAAATTGATTCGCTCGCGCCCGTGCACCTACGTATTAATCGGCCTAGCTCGCCCGCTTCGATATCTCTCGCTCGCAATCGCTCGCGACGAGAATACACGTGCGGAGCCTTGCGCGCCATTATCGCTGATTGCTCTTGCCGTCGAATTAATTGTGCAATCAAATCGTCATTGTCGCTCGAGTGCACGATACAATTTATTACATTAGAATTAAGGAATATTCTTTCCCGAATATTCCACCGTGCCATAACTCCGATATTTTGAACGGAGCCATCCGTTACCCGAGACCTTGGAGCGAACGTTGTTGTTTTTCCTCAGTTTTTCTGTCGGTCGGACTCAGAGTCTTTGTGTCCCGTTGTTATTGTGGATCATGTCGACCTGCCGTCGACTCGGAATTATATTTATATTTCGCCGTTCGACCGTTCCGACTTCGTACACTCTGTCATAACAATTACTTGCTGAATCACTCTCTCCCCTCTGACTCCTCGCGGGAAATCATTTCCTATACCTATTTTCTTCCGTTATTTGCACCATGCCTAAGAACGCCAAAACTCGCCGCGATTTGTGCGTTAGGCGGATACGAGGGATCCACGATCTCTCTTTGCAAGCCGCAACCGACCCGGCGAGCCGCGCGAATTTTCTCGCCCGCTATTCGAGCGTGGCAAAAATCGCGGAGGATTTCGAGAGCGCTCACCTAAAAATCATTCAGGAAACCGCGGAGTTCGAGGCCGAGGACGTGATTAGAGCCGAGTTCGACAAGATGCACTATGCCTTAAAGAGCCGATACCATATTATCACCAGCACTTCGCACGGAAACGCTCAGACGCAGTCCGCGGGTCATGGTTTGGCCGTCAAATTGCCTAAGATCGCGCTGCCGGAATTCTCGGGTGACCTTTCGTTGTGGCCGTCTTTTATCGCCTTGTACAATATATCGATTCACGAGCATCGTCAGCTCTCGGCGATCGAAAAGTATCAATATCTGCTGGCCTCGTTAAAGGGGGAAGCCCTCAACGTGATCAAAAACCTGCCGTTCTCTTCGGATCATTATATGATCGCTTACGACTCCCTCCTCTCCCGTTATAGAAATAAAAAGAAGCTCGCGGACTATCATTTAAATTCGATGCTTGACTCAAATCCATTGAAGGCCAAATCGGCCGAGGCCCTCCGCACCCTGTTGGATGCGTTCTCCGAGAATACGCGCGCGCTTTCCTTGATGAAGTTCCCGACGGATTCGTGGGATTTCCTTCTTTTGAAATTCTTGTTAGACAAGCTTCCTCGCTCCCTTCGGGAAAAATTCGAATCCGCGCATAGGACTGAGGGGATACCGCGATACAATCAACTCACGAAATTTTTTTCGGAGCACTGTAAGGTTCTCGAGGCCATCGCGGGTCCGTCCACCTTGCCGAACAAATCCAAGTCTGCGCCGGTCTCGTCATTCGTAACGTACACGGCCGATTGCCTGGTGTGCAAAGAACAGCACCATATAACCAAGTGTTCGCATTTTCTTGAACGTTCGCCGAGGGAGAAATTTTCGACAGCTCGCAATTGGAAGCTGTGCCTAAATTGTCTTCATTCCGGACACGGCTTGAAGGATTGTCCCTCCGAGTGGACATGCCGATCTTGCGGTATGAAACACCATACGCTGCTGCATTTCGAGCAGGCCAGCGTCCCGTCCCCCGCGAACGCTCCGCCGGTCACTCCGGTCGACGACCCCGCGGCGCCGGGGGATACAGGCGGGAACTAAACGACCACCTTGCCTCGAGATATCATTGGCCCGCGCCCTTCGCCACTCGTGATGTCTCTCGTCCGTTCGTCGCACGGGCGCGTTCGCGACGAAGCTGTTCGCATTTGTAGTTTTCGTTCAGACGAGGTCGAGTCCCTACACCCTCACCCCGTCATCGTGCACCGGCGAGTCCCTACTCACAGTCTCTCTCGTTAACGCCGTCTTGGCGTATCACCACTCGGGTGTCGCCAAACGGCCGGACCTCATTCGGAGGTCACAAATTCGCAACGCATGACACCTCTCGCCCGTTCGCCGCATGGGCACGTTCGCGGCGAAGAGATTCGTGCAATTATACTTTCGCTTGGTCAAGGTTGGTTTACGACACACTCAACTCGTCATCGCGCACCGTCGAGTCACCTACACTCACGGTGCCCTTGGACACCGCCGTCTCGGCGTATCACCACTCGGGTGTCGCCGAACGGTAGGACCGCACTACCGCCGTCTTGGCGTGTCACCATTGTTCCTCCCGCTATCACGGAGGGCTTCGGGCGTCGCCAAACGGCCGGACCTCATTCGGAGGTCACAAACTGCCGCCGTCTTGGCGTATCACCATTCGGGTGTCGCCAAACGGCCGGACCTCATTCGGAGGTCAAACGAGTATCGCTTACGTTTGTCAAGTCCTGCGGGGACCCCTCGGAATCGACGCCGAGTATGCGTGGTCGGATTCCGAGGCGGCCCTCGCCTAGATTCGCTCGTCTCTACATAGGTGAAAGACGTTTGTTCGCAACCGCGTTGCTCTCATTCACGAGAAGGTACCGGTCTCATCCTGGGGCCAGGTCGATACGGAAACCAATCCGACGGATCATTGCTCCCGCGGACTTTACTCCCGCGATCTGGTGGCCAATTCGATGTGGTGGACGGGCCCCGAGTGGCTCGTGCACTTTGAACCTCGGGTTGAACCCTCACCTCGGCCAAACGTCCTTCCTATCGAGGAAGAACGAGCCACATCTCTTGTCGCGCTCGACGCGCCCAACGCGGTACTTTCGTTGTTATATAAAATTTCGTCGTTGGATAAAATTTGCAAAATAATCGCGTATAGTCTTAGGTTTGTAAATAGATTCCGCGCCAAGTCTACTCACGAGACTTTGGCCATTGATCAACTCGAGTTGCATTCCGCCTTGCTAGTCATAGTGAAAGTCGTGCAAGCGGATGTATTTCGAGCGGAAATAGACCTACTTCGGATCGGGAAAGGGATCCCTAAGCCGTTTCTCAAACTGGCTTTGGTATTTTCGTTATCCACAGACTCATTTCTCGCTGCGCTGCAACGATTCGTGGCACGACGCGGACGCTGCTCACTCCTTTATAGTGACTGCGGCACCAATTTCATAGGGGCTGCGCGCGAACTTGAAACTCACATGGGCCTTGCGGCGGAGCGAGAGAAAATAAAGTGGACATTCAATCTCCCCTCCGCGCCCCATTTCGGGGGCCTCTGGGAGTCGGGCGTTAAATCCTTCAAGACTCACCTGCGAAGGGTGGTGAGAGACCAAGTCCTGACGATCGAGGAGTTTACTACCGTCCTCGCCCAAATCGAGACTGTATTGAATTCCCGACCCCTCTGCCCTGTGAGCACCGACCTTTCGGATCTCGAAGTCCCGGGACATTTCCTCACGATGGAGCCCCTGGTATCCGTTCCCACGCACGACGTGACCTCGCTGCCGATTAATCGCTTGAGTCGATGGCAGCTCGTTCAACGAATCTACCAAGACTTCTGGAAACGTTGGCACCAGGAGTATCTCACTACTCTACAACAGCGTCCCAAGTAGTGGACCTCGGTTAGTCAGATCGTTGTTGGCTCGCTGGTCCTCATCAAGGACGCCAACTTGTCGCCCCTACGTTGGAGGCGCGGACGTGTGGAGGCGCTACATCCAGGTAGCGATGGCGTTGCACGGGTCGCCACGGTGCGGGTGGCGGATGGCTCTCTGGTGCGTCTTTTGGGGAAGTTGTGCCCCTTGCCAATGGGCCCGGCTTCGCCGGCGATTGCCCCGGTTTAAATAAAATACCGCGTATTTTGGTGGGCGGGTATGTTTGGCGCTCGCCCTCTGTACATAGCTGTACATATTAGTGTTAAGTATTAGTTCGTCTGCAATAGTATTAGCGATCATTCGCGTTACGGTAATTTGTCGTATTCGTGATTTGACGGTAAAGTCGAGCCGTCGATAGGTAGACCCCGTTGGGACTCGCGCAAAACGTTGGCGGATCGCGATCTATATTCTAAGTCAATATTCGCGCGACTCACCTGACTTGTGCTGCCCGCCCGCGGGTGGCATCCCCAATTATTGGAGCAAATACTCGCTCGCGCCGGTTCTCAACAGGAGCGCGACGCGAGCCTACACTCTCGCTCCGGAAGTCGTGTTAACACACTCTGGAAGTGATCGACTCGCTGCTGGAACCGATTCACCGAGCGCCGCGCGCCGTGCCTCGCTCTGCTTGCCATTGCATGTGCATTTTGCTTGCCTGCCTCTTCTGTGTGCCTCTTGCTTGCTGCCTGCGTCTACCCTTGCCTGCCGGACATTTCCCGCTATCACGGAGAGTTTGCCTGCCTAGGGAGACGAACGACTCGAGTACACCGACGAGAGGGCCGGGCAACGAAACGGTGAGTCGCTTTTGCTATCATATTATTCGCTGCTCGTATTTTCTCGTATAATCGCTTCGCGGGGACCAAAACACCCCCGCTGGTCCTTCGAGTTTAATCGCAAATCCGGGGAACGCTCTACCGCCTCCCCCCCCCCGAGCAATTAGAAAAATCGATTTCCAGAAAATCGGTAGCAAAATACTATACATTTTATGGCACTCCCCGGGAAATTCTACCCCTATTTCATGTACCCTTGATAAAAATTCGGTCCACTAACGAATGAGTAGTTCGCGGTCAGACAGACAGACAGACGTCCGGTACTTATATATATACGGGGTGCGAGAAAAGTCTGGAAACGGTCAAATATCTCGAAAACAAAACGTTTCTGAGAAAAATGTTTCCAACCCAAGTTGTAGGGTTTTAAAAGTTCTATTCAATGATCATATCCGTTTGACCTTGAGTGGAGGCGTCAAGGCGAGGTCAAGACCAACCTAATTTTTTTAAATAAAACTCCCCATTTTTTATGACACAGTATTAAAGGTGGCAGCGAGACGTTTCCAAAACACTACTTAAAAACCTATTTTCGTTGAGAATTGCCTGAGTTATGAGCTTTAGAATT